TGGGATATAAAAACTACGACCCACTAAACATTTTTTGCAGCTCTTTGTAGCGAAAAAAATCTTTTCTCATAGTTTGGCAGTCCAACCTCGTATGACGCGCCATAAACTCCCCTTAGCTAGAGTGCAAAGTACTCAAAAGATTAACATTAGCACATGCTCAGCCGGGAATATGAGCGCGCAAATTGACGGAGGAAAACATGTCGATATGGTTCTAAGCACATACACACACACCAGCTTCTTACCCATATGTTTTCAGCGACAGATTGTGCTCTTATCGCAGATGTCCACTCAACGAATTAAAGAGGAACAATGAAAAACTTCAAAACCATAAACGGCTGGACATTGAAACCGCATTAAAAGCTATTGTATATACATACATATGAATATAAGTATATGTATGTGTATTTAGGTATAAATTTAAAAACAAAAATTTTTTTATGAAACAAAATTAAGCTCCACTTATATAATATATGTTTTCAGTTTTTGTTTTTCAAAATTTAAATTTAACGGATTTTCAAAAATTTTGTAACTTTTGAAGGATACTAACATATGTATGTACTTCTGCCATAGTAATACTTCGAGCGAGAGATAACTGAGTAAAATAGTTTTACTGGTAATACAGAATATTGCAATGTATTAAAAAAATGAAATATTCTGTATTTTAGGGTTTACAATTTTTGAAAATTAAAAAAAACTTTTTGAAAATCAAAATTTTTTCAAATCAAAAATTATTAAATAATGAATTATTATTTTATATATTCTTGAATATTGAATTATTAAATAATGAATTTTTGATTTAGTACTCGCTTTTGAAAGTCAACATATTAATAAATATTTTATTGAAAAAAAAAATTTTAGCACAATTTCAATACTTACTCGCTTCTTTGCAATAAAAAGAGCATGAATTGGAAAAAAAACAGAATTTATTAAAGAATATATAAAATAATTTGTTTCTAGGGTTAAGCAAGGAGTTTTACATTTTTTGAAAATCAAACAATTAATCGGAAAAATGAAAATAATAAATAACGTACTCACACGTTATTGAAAGTCAATTTTGATAAAACTATTTTTTTGATTATAAAATTTAAAATATTTTAAATATTTGTTCCCTGATTTTCATCAAAGGAAAGATGAAACATAAAATAATTGAAATATATTTTTTTTAAAATCATGAAATATTAAAAAACGGGGTTTTGACTTAATAATCGTTTTAAAAGTAAATTTAAATATTTGTTTTAATGAAAGCATTTTTCAAAATCAAAAAAAATTTAAAATTTTTCAAAATCAAAAAAAAAATTTAATTTTTTAAATAAAAAAAATGATAAATAACGATTTATTGATTTAGTACTCGTTTTTGAATGTGAATTTTAATGTTTAAAATATTTAAAATTTAAAATTTTTGAATGCAAGTTTTTGTAATCTAGCTAAATTTCAATATGAACTGTGCAATAAATAGAAGGTGGTGTGGAAAACCGAAAATAGTTTAAAAATGTACATATCGTCACCTGAAATGCAAAATAACGTAACATCATTTTCGAAAATTAACAGACGCATGAATGAAGCACGAAATAAAATGGAACACGAGTGAAAAAAAATGTAATATTGGTTAAAACTGGTTTATAACTGAGCTCAGAACCTGAAAATGTTGAACATATGTAATTTTATGTACGTAATTTGAAGTAGTGAAGCGTAATCAATAAGACACTCAATTTCGAATTTTTTGATGATACGTTATTTTGCATTTCAGGTGACGATAGGTGACTTTGCCTTAAGTAAGAGTTTTTACACGATTTGAGATTTTGAAATTCAATAAAAATATTTTTTTAACAAAACATTACAAATTTTGATTTTTCGAAATTTTTGGTCAAAATATTGGTTAGTCAGCTACAATATCATATAAAAATAAAAAACAAAGTTTTAATTTTCAACTTTGTTTTTTTTTTCTTTTTTAATTTCGGTAACTGTGTCCAACTCATCAGGTAACATGTAGATATACATACATATGAAAGTGGATAGTAGCACTCTACTCAATATTTAATGAGTAATCCATACAATGTTGACTAATCTATTAATATTTAATAAAGCGCCTTGATATTTTGTCACGGTGTATGTATAATTTCACACGTTCCTATTTGTAAATATGTATGTATGTTGCTTCCCAGTACAACCTTTTAAGTACACATGCACTTGAATCGCCGATAATAAATAAATGTTTTTTTATTGCATGAGTACTTACATAGAAATGTACTTACATACATAGGCGTAGTGGCTGTAGCGATAAAACACGTCTGTCTGTGTATAAATAATATAAAAATGAATGAATATACACATACATATACATATATATTTGTGTATATGCAAATAAAATATTTACAGATAATTCGTTATATAATGAATATGTAGCAACGGAGGGGTTAGCCCTGTTTGTGACGTAACCGATGGCTGATGGTTCCGCTAAAATTGCAGCTGAACTTGGAAACCGGGCTAGCTTCCGTTTCTTTATTTAAAACATAGACGGTTTAAAATACATAAAAATGTAAAAAAAAAAATGGAATTAAAAAAAGATATAAAAAAGTATAATTAAAAATCTTTATCTTCGAAACCACTTTCAAATGATCTTCGAATTTCCAATTTTTTAAACAGAGTTTGAGGAAAGTAGCTATGGAATTAGAAACCTTATTACATTTAAACATGCAATTTAATACCAAAATTCATATAAAACTTCAAATCTTCGATCAAATATAATGAAAAATTAACCTATACTCCTACAGAGTCTGTAAGCAGGAATAATTGCATGCCTGTAAAATTAAATTTCATTTCCGAATTCACCATTCTTATGACAAACCAGTAAATTTTCCTACAGGGTGTGTAAGCGTGAAATTATCTGCCTGCAAAATTGAATGTCATTGTTCTAGACTCCAAAATAATGAAATTGTTTAGCTTGCGCCTGTAAGTATGTTTAGAAATATGCCATAAGTGGGCTATAAATTATCTTTTATAAATTATCTTTTATAAATTTATTTAGCGTAAAAGTGTTAGGGAAATTGATTGGACCAAAGAAAAGGAAAAATTTAGTACATTTTATTTGTCCATAAATGGGTGACGCTAATTAGCTAATGAACTTCGGAATTTTCGGATTAGCACTCCTGTTTAATAGGCTTAATGACGACAAATGATTTAGGAGCTGAAGTATGATGTAAACATTTAATTTATTTTTTGACGAGATAACTGACTATCTTTCCTAATGAATTAGGGCAAAACATGATGCCAAAAGGCTGTTGTTATTCTTTACTGGCGTAGACACCGCTTATATAGCCAAGTTTACAACAGCGCTCTATTTGTTCTTCTTTTTCGCTGTTTGGATCCAATTGGAGATTCGAAGTGTAGCCAGGTCTTTATTCACCTAGTCTTTCCAACGGAGTGGAGGTCTCCCTTACATGGCCGCTTAAAGTCAGGTGAAAATCCAGGTCCACATGTTGTCTAGTTATCGATATATGGATGCCAGGCATAAGTTTGTGGTTCCACAGTCCAGTTGAGGTTTCCACCGTTGCTGCCATGTAATTATGCTGCCATGTAATTATGTTCATCTTTCTCTCCTCTCTTTTTGTAAATTTTTTAATTGGCACTAATAGCTCATAGAATCTAGTAAATTACTTTTCCTGAATGTCTATGTTCGGCATGCTAGCTAGTACTTCAGCTGCGTCGCTGGAAGCACTTGTTACTCTTATTGCTGCACCACATTTATGGGTTTGAGTTCTCCTAATAAACTTTAGAGAGCGTTTTTTTTTTTTAAATAACGAAACTAGTGCTTAGAATGCGTAAAAACGGGCGGAAACTAGTAATAGCCCCCATGATTCCCTCAACAGCATGGTCCCACCATTGAAATCCATTGTAGAATGGAAAAGGTAAACAATCATTGCCGATGGATTATCTTAAGAATCGTCCTTTCTAGCTGTTTTAATCTTTCGTTCTTAAAACCTGAGGCCTGTGTAAAGAATATGCATTCTCTGTTCTGGAACAGTCCATTTTGGATTTAACAGCGACAGTAGTATAATGCTTTTGGGACCTATAATTTTAACGTTCGTGCCATCGATGCAACCAATGATGCCAGAGATATTAAATTTTTGGTAAAAATTTAAACAAATTTTCTGCACCTCCTCTTTAGTTGATAACGTTATCCACACTTATCCACTTCAGCAAGGATTTCACTACACCTGGATTGTGATAAACCAACATCCATTTGCCTGCTCACACCTTTTTGGATACGCTCTGTTTTCAGCCAACCGCTGGCAGGAATTGTTTTCCTCCACCAAATATACGCTATTCATTTTTATGTAAGCTATTAAATTTTATCAACAAAGTTTAAAGTCAACAATTTAAAATGTAGTTGCAGCAAAATCAAAACAAAAACATGTGTAACAGATAGCCGAAGTTCACAATAGTTTAATCAAAATTCGAACACAAGTCTTCGTTCACGCGAAATTCGTGATACAATAACGATGATTCGTGCACGATAACGCTGAATATATTTAAATATTATATTATTGTATGGTGATCAAACTTATGTATGTATGCTATTTCACATTTCCAAATATACAGTTAGATCCTCTGGGCGCAACAGAGCGACTTCGCTGGCTCAAAATTTGGGCCAAATGGTCACACGTCAATTTAATTCTATAACAAGTGTAATAACAAATGTACTACTAAATATAAAGTGCCAATTGAAATAATAAATACTGACAATTTGGGTATTTGCAAACTTATTGTTTCACAGTTACAAAAATACATTGTACCTACTGGTGTACTGCTACAATATACATAGATATGTACGTGTCAAAACGATTGATCATTTTATAACTAATAAATTGTTTGTCTACCAATTATTTGAGCCGATTGAACAGTGTGTACACAACATGCATTAGTCCGTTCGAATGATAACTTATCTATGAATATGAAAGTGCTGATTAAATGGAGAAATATTCGCATATTAACCACATGGTGGCAGTCAAAATAATTCAGTCGGTATAATCGTTTGATAGGTCTTAGACGTGGCCCTTGTAGAAATCAAACAAAAACTCTATTAACGACGCACGATCAATAACGTCTGCGCATTATGTCGTCTGCTAACGGTATAAGCAAGGACGAAAAGTCCTATTACAAAAGCAATATCATAATTGGAGACTCCTTAGCGGAAAATGGAAAAGATACAAAAGCAAAACTGTAAGTCTGATCCAGTGGAAGTTCAGTAGCGAATTCGTGTGTGTGGCGCAAACAATTCGTAAATATTCGCCACTGTCAGGCGATAGCGGTTTTGAGTGTGTTGGTTAGTAGTGTGTACAACTGTGAAAGAACAAGTGTGAGTCAAGCAAATCAGCCGTTACTTGCATGCATAAACATGTATGTATGCATGTATGTAGTTGCAGACGTATAGATATGAATCGATAAAATTTTTTTGGATTTTGCAAATCATCGTTACCTTGCGAAATCAGTTCGCATTTGTAGCATTTACGGAAGCGCGTGCACATGGACGCAAGCATAAAAAGTATTGTAAATAAATAAATAAATAAACAAATAAATAAATACATAAGTACATGTGGTTAGAAAGAAAAAATTAAACGACAACAATATTATAAAAAAATACAAATAATTATTAAACTTTCGTTAAATTAAACAAGTGT